GGGAAGGCATAGCTGAGATAGCATTGCTCATTCCTATCAAAAGGGAAGACTCAATCTTGGTCTCTCAGGAGTCGCAAGATCACAGGATTTTTATTATTATTATTATGAAGTATAGCAGACTTGAAAAAATCCTTTGGGGGGGGGGGGGAAGAGGAAGGGGGTTAAAAAAAAATTAGACTGCATGAAGTATACCAGAAGCTGGAATTCTGGGTGGCATTTGTAAGATGAAGTCTGTATTTGAGCTAATCATAAAATGTGTGAGAAATGTGTATATTACATGTATTTTACTTGAAAGATAAATGCTTACCATTAAAGATGGCAAGACGGCGAACATTAAAAACATGCACCAATCCTGTTAATTGTGGAGTGTTGAAGTCATTCTGTTAACATATCACTATTGTGACTTCCCTCGAGTGTCTGAGCTTGAATCACAAATTACTGGAAACACTGAAGCTATGAATAGTTGTTTTCCCCCTGTAAAATAACCAGTGACTACTAAGTTCATGACCCAAGTCTTTCTTGTGTACACCTTAGTCCAGGTAATATGATCAGTCTTTTTGAAATAAAATCTATGCAAGAGAATAAACCCTGGAAGCGTGAAAAGATTTTTCCATTAGGTTTCACTATGGGATAAATTTATAGACTTGTCACAATTCAAAATTAAGCCAAGCTGCAAAAGCTGCTACTTGGAAGGTGTTCCCATGATCCAATGCAGAATCTCACCGTTATGAAACATTGTATATACTTTGATACTGTTTAGTTCCTTTAGACAGAAAGGATTGTTTCACAAATGCAGACTCTGCAAGTATTAATCATATGTTGCACTTTGGTTAAAAGCAGCTGTGAAAAATACAGAAAAACATGCACGCACACTGGATCTGAATAGAAGGCAGCATCCATTTTGAGAACAAAATTCACTTTGTGTAAGTTTACGCATTTATTTGTTTTTACACTTAAATATCCTCTTTAAATACAGCATTATCACAATGAAAAGAACATAAAAGGCAAAACAAAAATGTAAAGGACCTGACAAGCTTTGGATTCACATTGAAAATGCCACCTGTGTATTTCCTGCAGGAAAGCAGAGTTATGAAGTTATTGGTTGCAAGTGACAAGAGGACAGGGCTAATACCAATATCAGACCAGGGCTTCTGTCAATAGAAGTGTCTTCCAAGTAGTAAAAGGACTGTCCTGTAAACAGTTCAGTAGCACCAAAAGAAGGGAAGGGGAAGGGAGAACAGGTGAATGTACCACCACATCAGAATAAGAAAGATAGTTTTGTTATTAATAACAAAAGGGAGACAGGCAAGATAGTAGGCCTTTTTTTTTTTTTTTGCATTAAAGAACATTCTTTAAAACAAAAGCTTTCTAAGAAGCCTGTACTACAGGATTTAGAAATAAAATTCTGTCATTTGAGATCAGCGCCCTTTCTTTTTTCATAATGCTCAGGAAGGAGTGTTTTATTTTTCTGGCTATTTTTCTACAAATAGCTATTTAAGGATGCCTTTTTCTGTCATAACTAAGCATCTGGTGGAAATGAAAAAGCCAGCGTAATAGATGCTATGTTGAGTTTCTGTTTTCTTCCCTGTTATCTACACCTCTGTGTAAGAATGTTGTATTTTAGTACTTGGGTTTCTATCAAGCCATTACATTAATCATTGCATTCGGGAATGTCAGTCACGAGAATTGTTTCTGCATTATAAAAATGGAATCCTGGTATTTTAAGTGTGAAGCTGCTTCCATTTTCAGAAAGTGTATTCCACCAAACCATCTGTCAGTATTGGCAGGTGGCCAAGGGGTGCAACAGCTTAAGCACTCTACAGGAGGAGATTCTTATTATACTGCCAGATCTGTAAGAATTGAGGTAAGCCCCATTTAAAAACTTGATTCTAGGGCCCGACTGTGCCAAATCCCCAGAACAAACACCATGCAGTTAAAGGAGCAAAGCCTCTGGTTTTAGCCACTACTTTAGAGCAGATCTACAGTACAAAGATTCCTAATTCAGGGCTACAAAGAGTATAGCTGGAACAATGGAGGAATAATATGGGAAAAAGACAAGTGCACCTTGTCCTGAAACAAACCTACAGCTGCCCATGATAATGCTACTGTAGTTGTGTAAAAAAAAGCAATTATTATAAATAGCCAAGGTGCTTTCAAACGTTGAGAATTTTATATGAGATGTCTCCTCTTTGACCCAGATACCTACAAAGCTGAGTATTCTATGTAGGAGGAAATTCTTTCTCTTCTGTTTGATTCAGATGTGAAGAGCACTAAATACATTTGCTACAAGTGAGAGATCAGCTGCCTTGAAAATAAATTTAGCTTGTTATAGCACCACTTGTTTTGTAAACTACAAATGTGAGAAATAGGAAAGACTCCTCCTAAAGGTAGTCTGGGGTGAAACTGCACGGAATAAAAGCCTCAACCACCCCTCAGGAAGGAGACCAGTGTATAGGAAGGCGTGTTTATGTTTGTGTGTGTCTCATGCAATGACTTGTGTGGCTTTTTAAAGACAAAAGGAGGACAGCGGACATTTTTAAGGCTGCACATGCATCCTCTTACATTTTAAAATCCACAAAGGAGACATTTGCCCACCAAACATAGCATTGCTTCTAAACAATCCACCGAAAGAGGTAGTGATGTGAAAGCAATTAAGTAGTCTGGCAAAGTTTTGGAGCCCTGGCTGTATATACTATATGCCAATCAGCACAAGGAGAGCTTGGGCGAAATAAGGTGAAAAATCAAGACAGGGATTTGGTACGAGAGTCTTTGCATCTATACTGAAGCCTGGAATGGGCTGGAACGATGTTACGTGTCAATGCCGCCTACGCAGCATTTGCTTGCGTTTTATCTTACAGAGTCACTTTCAGGAGAATAGGCTTTTCTGGATGCACTGGCAGCACAGATTGCTCATCACTGATCATTAACAGCCAAGAATTAAGTTAAGACTTGGCTACCGCCAGAGTTTTCTTGCTCTGCCTACTCCCAAGCAGCTTTGCAATTAAGGGACAGGACTGTTCAATCTTTCCAGATTCAGAAACTTTCCAGATCTAGAAACTTACATGGCCTAGCATTTACACAGATCTAGTGATATGCCTGTACTTAGGTTCTGATGGTGCGTGTATTATTTTTTCAGCTGGGAGGCAGGTTTTGATGAAGATATATATCCCTGCAAAGGCTACTTAAATCCCATCCTCTCTTATGCATAAGGAGTTAAGGGCAACCAAATTACCCAGACTAGCTTTCGTTGTAAATCTTGAGCAGTCTGAAAAAAGAAGAGATTCCTAAATAAAGGGGAAACCAGTTCTTGCTAAGCCCCAGGCCATACACCACAGGGCTATAACATGAGCTGGGTCAGAACAGGTGACAACAGAAAGGCAATGATTATCTGCTGCTTACTACAAGGTAGATGAAGAAGGAAAGGATGCCTAATAAGCTGGAAGAGAAAAGTGCTTTTGTTATCCTAGAGTGGTCATAGGGGTGAGTGGCAGTTTATAAGGGCGTCCTTTCTCCCTTTATTCCAAGACCAATTGGAACAATGTACACACTTCACTGGGAGGGGAATTGCAGGTGCCACCTTATTGCACATTTACTGACCCCTAAATGCTTGGGACCCAGCAGGTTGCAGTTTTACTGCACACAGGCTCCGTGCCCTTTCAAGTCATCCAGAATGCTAGGTTGCTAAAAGCAAGGAACAAGGGGTCAGAAAGCTTTCAATATCGCCTCCAAATTCTTGTGCAACTAGAATGGAAAAGACAGACAGTAAAAGGGGAAAATTGATTCATAAAAGTATGAGGCGAAAGGCTTAAGTGTCAAATTCTCTGCCCACCCAAACTGGCAGTTCTTTTCAGAAAAGCTGGATCCCACCCGATCCTAGGGTGGGATCCTAGTGTTCAGCGTTTACAGAATCAGTTCCCTGAAGGGGATCTAGTCAGAGGTGACAGCTCAGGATCAGAGTCAGTGACAAGTCTTGAGTCACGTCATGTCCGTAAACATTCAGCTTTTTTTTTTTTAAGTTAATTTAAACTTAATCAGTCCCAGTCCAGCAAAGGCCAGCCAGCAAAACAGGCCGTGAACATGTTTGGGTGAAGCTATTGGCAGGGGCAGGGCAGGGCAGAGGCTCCAGGATGAAAATTATTTTTTTACGACAGTTGCATGCCAAACTGTAGGTGTAAGCTAGTCATGATCAAAGTTAATTCATAGTGAATTTAAAAAATATATGGGATTCTTCCAGGGAACGAAGGGCAGTAAATGTCACATAAATAAGAGGTTGCAGAGCTTAAGCTGTGTAACTGGTTAGAGCAGTTCAAGCAAGTAAGGTCACCGTTACCAAGACACAGCACTGAAAGTGACAGAAAGGGATGGCTGGCGGCAGCGGCGGCAGCTTCGCTTGGGATCAGCAACTGGAGGGAGAGATTCCACCACGCATTGAGACCGACTGACGTCATGAAGTAGCAACAAGTGTTCTGCTTGCCCTCCAACCCATCCAGCGCTTTAGTAAAGGCAGCTTTAGCTCTATTGCTTCCAAGAGACACATTCACATTTGGTCCTTGCAGGATGAAGTCAAGGCCTCCCCTACAAAGTTCCATTGCCTATGGGTCCAACCTCTTCAGGAACAGGAGGCCGCCCAACTAGTAGACAGGTCCTCCTACTCTGAGGCAGCTATGATAAGTGCTTGTTGTTAGGTCCTTATATGGTGGAGCCCACATAAAGCAACCCCTTCTCCTTCCCCTCCCCCACCCCAATATTAATTCCAAATGGCTGCGGCCATTTGATAAAAACCTTTTTGTCAATAAATAAAACATCAAGACGATGGGCTGGGAACTGTCACACGGTCAGAGAAGGGCCCAAGGAGCATTCCTCAGAGGAAGGGAGCTCGCAGGCCCTCTCTGGCGATCGAGGCACCACGTTCTGGGGCCGCAAACTGTCTTGTGGCACGTCTGTGTGGAGTGGTAGGCTTGGCAGAGGAACTTCAGGCTGACAGCTCTCAGAAGACAGGGGCTCAAAAGATACAGCAGCCTTCTCTGTTTCTACACTGCTGGTGGCTGTGGCTCTGCCACAAGACACCAGCGAAGTCACAGGGACAGAGTAGATGCTTAGCTCCTTCTCCTCTGTGAAACGAGGGGGCCCCTCAGGCTCCTCTGCTCTATTTTCCCCCTTCACCCCCAGCACTGACCTTTGGTCAACCTGATAGTACACAACAGGCCCATTGTTCAAGTAGGGTTGGCTGCCCTCAGCTGAGCTGGCTTGCTCAGAACTGTCCGTGAAACACAGAACAGAGGAACCTGGTGGCAGCTGAGCTTGAATGAGGATTGGGGTGGCGAGACTTGGGCACATCCCTTCGGAGACAGAAAGCGGCTCCTCCAAAATGCACACCCCCAAGCTTTCCATGCTGGAGCCGCTGCTAGAGTCTTCCTCCGCCTTCAGCCGCTCCAGCTCCTCAGCTGTCTGAAGATGCATGACTGCCGTTTCATTCTCCGCCATGAACTCCTGGAAATCCTGGGTCTCTGGGGACTGGCTTCCCAGCCAGTCACTGCCGGAGCTATGAGGGGTCTCTTCATCCAGAACCTGGGCCCGGCTCACCTGCCGCTTATTCTCTAGCTCTAGTTTCATAATGGTGTGCAGGTAGTGAGTCCTCACCCGGATGGGATTGAATTCAATTCTCCCAGCCATGTTCCCACAACCATCTCTGGAACAGCCGCATGGGAAGGACATTCGGTCTACCTGGGTGGGGGAAGCGAAGGACAGTGAAAACTGGGCCTGTGTGAGAACCGAGGAAGTGACTGGAAGGATGAAAGCTTGGCTAAAAGGAGAGTAAGTGAACAGATAGGGAATTAAAGTCAGATGGGAAAAATGTAAAATCCATGTAAGCTGTTATAAAAAAAGCAACTGGCTAGATAGGCCTCAAGCAACCTTTTGCGCCCCCCCCCCCCCCAATTCAATTCTTTCCCCCACATAACCTACCTATAAATCTTGTATTTCAAGGAGAAATCAAAAGAAATAAAGAATGGCCTGGAGTATGTCTGATTCGTTCTATTGTGAAAGAATGAATGTGCTCTTTGACACTTCATTTATCAAACCATCAAATGTTCTTTCACGATAAAAGCACTTTCAGGAAAAATCCTTTACCAGAGCTTTGCCATTTAGTGTGTAAAAGATGCGGTGCAAAAAAGGCAGAGAGACTGAGAGAGAATGACTTTGCCAAGAAAATATTAAGAGCAGAAATGCCAATGCACACATTCCGTAGCGGGTGGCAAAATGCTACAGATGAGAACAATGCAGAGAATGAAATTTGGTTCTGGAGAGATTACCCAGCACCTTAGATGTTGGGAATCAAAAATGAAGTAACTTAAGACTTCTTGTGTTTAAGACTTCTGGATTCTGAACATCCCTTTGTCTCTTTGTTTTGTCCAAGAAGCGTAATGCTGTAAATCAAATACTAAGAAAATGTGGTTACAGTTGCACAAACGCTGCATAATTTAAGTTAAACATTTGATCAGATTCTTTGAAGGGCTCGTTTCATACAGCAGCCAAAAGAGGGAAGCAGAAGAATAGCAGATTCCCACATGCATAATCACAGTGACTTCACATCATCCTGGAAAGCTAGACCTATTTCCTCAAGAACTTCTCATCCTATTTTAGCTCCCCATCCCGTGTCAGGGGTGCCTATGGTGGCCCAAAGGCTCTGCCAGTGAAAATGGACTCCCAAGCTCCGTTTTCAGCTGCGATGGCCTCCTGCAACCCACTTCCAGCGAAAACAGAGCTCTCCACATGCAGGCCTCCCGAGCTCCATTTTTGCTGGCAGCAACACAGCAGGCCAGTCCTTTGCTGTTTCCATGCAGGCCGGATGCAGCTAGCGGGCCTTGAGTTGGACACCCCTGATCTTAAGACCTTTGGAGGTGGGCAGAGAGAAATTCTCTTTAAAAATCATCTCTTATGAGCTCAACACATGAAACAATGAGCGGACCCCTCTCCACATCAAAAAGACACACAGGCAACAGGAGATATAGTTCAGGCCAAAGCCTAGCGGTTTCTTCCCCACTGACCTGGCATTTAATTCCAGCCTGGCTACAGGCACAAGCCTCAGGGTCACAGTACAGCCGGCAGTCACACCCACATTCTTCTCGTGAGAGGCGGATGGCCCGAAGTTCTTGTTTCTCCTCTGCATCGATGCGATGAACACCAGAGGCTCGAAGTAGAGCTCGCCGCCGCTTGGTAGGCAGCGGCTGTAAGAAGAAGTAGTCATCCACCTCCACGTTCTCTACATCGAGGTCATCGTCAGAGACATCTTCAAGCGTCAAGCCATCAGCCTCTTCGGACTCCACAGTTCCATTCTTGGTCAGCTTAGGGGAGGGTGTGGGAAAGAACAGAGAACACAACAGACACAGACACCAGCAAAGTTAATCTTGAAATTGAAATCCCATCATCAGTTTTCAGTCTGGAAAAAAAAAAAGACAAATGATTTGCCTGAGTTTAGCTGGGCTGCAAGGGTCACCTGTTTCCTCCAAATACGGATTCCTCCCGGGCTGTGAGTTTTGACAGTGATGCAGTTTTCTGCACTGACAAAAGCTGAAGGAACCCCAAAAGCTGGCTGGATAGAGAGGTTCTAACCGTGATCCAGCTTTACGTGCATAAGCCAAAGCACTGTTAGACCATGTTCTGGGTTTTTCTTTCTCCTTTGCTTGTACAACCCAACATCCAGAGAGAATCGTGTGTGTGTGTTAAATTCTGACAGTGACTTGCCTTTGCATATGCAAGCCTTCAAGCTCACCACACAAACCATAGCCTTTTTAGAAAAGATTATGAGCTTTGTTTGATCAAACCAGCTGTTGGCTTGTGCAGGCAGATCACGACCAATTAAGAGATGGTGGTTTATTTCTTTGCTCATTCCCAAGCTCCCTTGAAACTTTATCCAACCCATTCAGTCCTTAAAATCTGCACCCTCAGAATGATATCAGAGATACGTATTTCATTTACCTTTACTTGAGATGGGAAATTTCAAAACATGGTTTGGACAATGGTAACCTCCATGCACCCCTGTAGACCTCGTTTTTTTCCCAAGTCTCAGAGAAGATACACATGGAGTGGCAACATTTTCCAAGCCAAAATCCCGCATTTGAATTTGACATTTCTAGATAGTGGTGTCTAAAAGCACGAAGGATTCTTTCTCATCAGTTTTCACCAGGATACGCTATGTTTTTCACTTTTTGACAAACTTTGTGTGATATTATTTACCCAATGTATATACATAACTGGTCCTTGACTTACAACCATTCTGTTGGCTGTCATTCAAAGTTACAAATGGCATTGAAAAAAGTGACTTATGAACAGTCCTCACATTTATGACTGCTGGAACATCCCATAGCTATGTGATCTCATGACTTGGGCAACTGGCATGCGTTTATGGCAATTGCAGCATCCCAAGGTCATGTGATCCCCATTTGCGACCTTCTCGTCCAACTTTAGACAAGTCAAGTGGAAATGTAAAGAAACTCCAAGTGAAAGAAATAATTAGGAAAATTTGGATGTGCGCAGAAATGGACAGATTTGACAAAAGAATTAAAAAATAAGGATGAATCGGATTATTACAAAGTATGGGATAAGTTTTTGGTTGGCTGGAAAAGAGAGGATCAAGATAATAAGAAATGATTAAATGTATATATTATATACTATGTATATAGAATGTAAATATGCACTTTTTATATGTGACTTAGCAATGTAAGACAGCTATGTGGGTTAGGAGGATTGTACCATGTTCATTGTTTTTAATGTTCTTTTCTGTTTTTGTTTGTCTAATAAAATTTAAACTTTTTTTAAAAAAACAAGTCGATAGGGGGAAGCAGCTTCACTTAATGACAGCCAGTTTCAGTTAACAACAGTGATTCACTGCAGTGGCAAAAAAGGTAGTCAAATACATCCACTATGTTTAGGAATAGTAATTCTGCTCCCACTTGTTAGTTTCTAGTCAAGGGCTCCCTGTATATTTCAAGAAATAAAATATTTAAAAAAGAAAATATACAGTGTCTGTTTTAAATGGGAAGCAAAAAAAAGATCTGAACCAGGGGCAACATATGGAATCAGTATTCACATCTTCACCGAAAAAAAGAAGTTATTCTTTTTGTAGATATTTCCCTCACTGACTGCAACCCCAATTTTGGTGTTTGTTTTTTTCCATTTTCCCTTTTTTTCTCCCTTCCCCCTATTTTTAAAATAGATACATTTGGTTTTTATACCATTTGTAAAATGCAATAAAAGCTCAAAATTAAAAAAAGAAGCCTGGTGGCAAAAACAAAGCAAGTAGTAGTGTTTCATCAGAGTAGCCATGGTATTACAAAGAACCATTCCTGAGAGACATGATGCAACCTAGCCGAGCGCTGAGGTGAGAGCTTAACTCCACCCCCCAGCACTTCAATCCAGCCTCCTCCATCTTCTGATGGAAGCAGTCGGTGTGACAGGGGGGAGCTTGGATTTGGGAATTCTGGAACCTTGCAGGGGGGAGTCTGAGGGTGACCTTGATCCAATCATTACATCACAACTTTGCGGAGACACTAAACACATTTGCAGCTTGATATTTCTTACACTAAACATGACAGGCACTACTATTCGCACTGCTGGCCATGTGGAAAACACAGTAATCTTTCTACTGGCAGACACAGCCTGTCCTCAAGGGCAAAGCAGATCAGATCACTTGGCTGATTTGTGCTTCATACAAAAAAAAACAAAAACCCTCATCGTCTGCTGAACAGAGTACAAATTTGTTTCACCTCCAATCTTTGGAAGGGAGAAGACTTGTGTGAGGCTTTTTTTGTCAGAGACATGGCAGCTAGAGAGGAAAAAAGATACTGTAGATTGTTGGAAGATAAACTAACTTCGGAAGGTGGGCAAATAAGGATCAGATACGTGAGAAAGCAGAACTGACATTAAAAATGAGAAGGAGTTGCATGACAAATATAGAAATGAAACCTTTAAAATGTAGCTGATAAGACCTTCAAATGCAAAATTCTCTGTGGAATATACAAAACAACTCATGTTTTAAAAAGCATTTCGCGTGTTTTCCATAGGCTTCATGAACATCCTAGTCATATTGCAAAGCTGCAACTACTGTTTTGGAAACCCAGCTGGGTGACTTTGGGCCAGTTACTCTCTCTCTCTCAGCCCAATCCACCTCACAGGGTTATTGTAGTGGGGAAAACAGGAGGAGGAAGGTGTGTTTGCTGCCTTGAGTTATTTGTAAAAATAATAAAGGTGGGAAATAAACACATAAATAAATAATCAGGCTTTTTTCAGACATATTCCATCTCAATCTACAAGGATGGTGGATTGGGGCAGTATCCAGGACAGGATGCTCATTCATACAACTAAAAACACACCAAAAACAGCCACCACAGAAAGCTAGCAAGCTAGTTTGCAAGTCATAACCTAGATCCTTCTCCGATGTGCAGGTTCCCTATATTCACCTTCTGGAAAAGGTGGCATATGCATAAACAAGGATGGATCGTATCAGGACAAATCCGGACCCTGAAGCAGTGCAGTTCAGAAATGGGTTTCCTTTACCAACTATAAGAAGTAGGCCAGAGTTGCAGGACCACAGAGTGAATGTCTGTCCTTTTGGCTAAACTGGTTGTCATGGTAGCAAGAGAATGATTGGAACGTCTGTTTTTTGACAGAAGCATTCAATTCTGTAAGGGAAACCCAGTTGCTAGGCAACCTACAGGACACACCAACCAGGCCGCCAGGAGGCATATGATAAGGAGATGGACTGAACAAGAAGCTTGCTGGAGGAGGCTAAAAGGGGAGAGGCTTTCGTTGCAATTGCTGAGCCTTCCCTTGAATCAAGTTGACACAAAACGGAGGCTAGAAACCTGGTTGGCATCACTGGCGGTACTTGTCTCTTGGCTGCGAGGGCTTCTCTGCTGCTGGATGGCGGGGAATCCTTAACTTTTCCTCAGAAAGCTCATCTCTGACCCTTCCTCTCCAAGCCCTACAGGGAAAGCTCTTGTCAACTTCACATTCATTCAGTTCAAGAAGTTCTTCAATGTTCATTTTCACATTACCAGCAGCATTTCTCATATTCCAATCCAGATGGAGGGCTGCATGTAGTCTATGAAATATGGGGGAATCCAGGGTTTTGAATTTGGGGCTCAGGATTAGCATAACGGAGTTAGACAGGTAAGAAAGCCAAAATGCAAAATAATCAGAAGTGCATATTTGGAATACTATTCCTTAATAAATGCAGAGACAGACAAATAAAAGAGTCCAGGCAAATGCACCAAAGGACCATATGATCATCTAGTTCAGGAATGTCAAACTGGCGTATCACGCGCAGGCCACACCGACCCCAGCTCTGCGAAGGGAAACAAGTTGTGATACATCATGTGACAGCAACGTGACGCGGTAAGTTTGACACCCGTGGTCTAGAAATAGCAATAGCACTTGGATTTATATACCGCTTTATACTGCTTTACAGCCCTCTCTAAGCAGTTTACAGAGTCAGTGTATTGCCCCCAGCAATTTGGGTCCTCATTTTACCCACCTCGGAAGGATGGAAGGCTAAGTCAACCTTGAGCCTGGTGGGATTTGAACTGCCAAATTGCAACCAGGCAGCAGAAGTAGCCTGCAGTACTGCACTCTAACCACTGCGCCACCATGGCTCACTTGATCTTCTCTACCACTTCCCACAGGCAGGGCTGATGTGAACTCAACATATCAAATTGGGAAAAGGATTACAGGCATTCAAAGTCAATTCCCCAACCTTGCTATATTCCCTATATATGCATCAAAATAGGGTCAAGTTACAGCACCAAAAACTCTGCAAATAAATGACCTAAAGGGACTTTTCTGCCTGCCAAAAGCCTACCTTCATTTTCTTGGCATGAAGTTTCTCCTCCTTCAGGTGTTCTCGAAGGATCTCACGGTGATTCACTTCCTGCTCTTGGGCAAATTCACCAAGGGTATACCTGCGGACAGAGTTATGCCGCTGGGCCATGCCCAGGGAACTGCCCCCTTGGCTAGGAACGCTGGTAAATCCCTGACGCCTTGCAAAGTAGTACACAGTCACCTGGTCGAAGCGCACGTTCTTTCTACGCAGCTGTTTCTGCCTTTTTAAGATGGAGGTTGCTGAGAGGTAAGAAAGCAAAACAGAAACACCCGCTTGAAAATTGAAGCAAGGATGGGTCTCCCTTCACACACACCCTTTAATATTTTCTTCATTGTTACAGAGCACCCGTGGCAAAGGTTGTTTGAAGAATGTATCCTCCACCATAGAAGCTTTCAAACTGTTCTGCATTGACACATACCTGCCACTTAATTCCTAAGCACTGGACAGAATTCTGAGCATGTTCCAGGATATAAAGAGCATTGGCCAAAGCCCACAGGGTTTTATTGCAACTCTGAACAACCAAGAGTCAAGCCTGTAAGCTATTTAAAATTCTGGCTGCGCACTACGCAGGCGTATTAGTAGTGACAGGAAAGCTGTCTTTCCAGAAATCTAGCAAATACTGAGAAATCTTTAGGTTCTGTAGAATCAATGCGGCATCGCAATCGGTTTTTCAAATGCCACTAATGGTGTAAAAACAACAGACCTGGCAATGTTTTGTCCAGCCAGGTCCTTATCCAGCAAATCATCTTTTCACATCTAACCTCCAATCATAACCAGCAATGAAGTAAATGTAGGCAAGCCTCTCTGAGTAAGTAACAGTCATTGGGGAAGAATGTAAGCTGTCTGAACTTTTTGCTAATTCTACTGAACTAAGACTAAAGTCCTGGAACGAATAGCTGGATTAATTTCTTATAACTCTTCAGAGTGGATAAAAGAGGGTAATTAATATGGCTGGGCAGACACATGAGGGCAGACACATGATCCTAGGAAAAAGCACAGCTGCTTTAGGGAATTTACGTATTGTACTAGGCTCCTTCACTATTCTAATCAGGTCTGACTCTGAGCAGCTTACAGAGATCCAGAACAGTAATATGGTTAAAAGCTAAACAGAAAAATGTAACCAACGTAACAAATAACATCCAGCACTGAGGAACAACCATAAAAGTGTGTGTGTGTTTATATTTCTTTAGTCACCCATCTCACAGGGACCATATTAAAAGAAGTATTCTTTAAAAAAAAAAAAACATTAATACCAAGACAATAGAGCTAGATAGATGTTAAAAATAATGCAGCCATCTCCTTATATCACTATTTTGGTGAGATTCCCCAAGCCTGCTGATGTAGCAATCTTTTGAGGGCCTTCTGGAAGGATATCAGGACAGGGCCAGTCTCAACTCAGGGGGATGATAGATATTCCACAGGGCAGGCACCATGGCAGAAAAGGCCCCTCTCCTGGGTCCTGCCAAATGCATTCGGTCAGGAGAGACTGAAGTGGTTCCCTCAAGACTAGCCAGGTCTTGAAAAAGCTTATGGGGTTGGCAGCTATCTGATCTCAGGGGAGCACTGCTTTAGAAAAGGGGAGATATGGACAGAAAAGAGAGCAGCCTTCTCAGCCACATCTCACCCAAACAGGCTTGGGGGGGGGGGGGTAGAGAATACCAGAGGAACATAGTGGATCATTCACCCCGCACCTCACACAAAAGCATCATTCTGCCTCGAATCCTAACAGCTACACAGTCCTGCTAATCAAGGTATCTATGAACTACTAATCCAGCAGTCCTCAACCTTTCTGGCTTGGTGGCCCAGCGCTTGGGGGAGGGGACAAGAGGATGGTTCTGTACAAGCAGCAGGAACGGGCGTGAGCAGCTCCGTTTGTGCAAGTGGAGTCATGGCGCGCTCGCCACTCACACAAATGGAGTTTCGTGCGTTTGTGCTCGCACCCAATGCTCGTGCAAGTGGAGGGGTGCGTGCGTGCTCGCCCACTATTTCTGAGGCCCAGTTCCAAACAGGACATGGCCCGAGGGTTGGGGACCCCTGAACTAATCAACTCTACGTGGAGCATCCAAGAACAATAGCAAATTTTCACATGATTTGCTTCTATTACATCCAATAAACAAAAAAAAAGAGGCAAAAGTGGGGATATACAGTATATTCTACTAGGATGAGATTTTTTTTTGGGGGGGAGCCCCCCCAAATGCACACTTTTATTAGAATTATTAACTCCATAAGACTGAACAGCCTCATAGTAACTGCACATTCAGACCAGCCCAACTTATTGGATGGATTTGGGTCAAAGAAGGCTGACTGAAATAAATTATAGGTTATCTTCAGGCTGTTCTTTTGGTAAGTTTTTATTGGTTGGCAACACAGAAGCAGCTAGGCGGAAGTCCATACTTACTACTCTTGCTTCAGCTCAGAAGTCATCGCATTCTTGCAAATATCTGACACCATGGAAGACTTTCTTGATGAAGCAAGGCTTCAGTGACTAACAGATGGAACAGTAAATTCTTCTATAAGTACTGCCAGAATTAATGCTGATAACAAAGTTAGTTTTTGCTTTACAACCATTTGTTTAGTGACTGTTTAAAATTACAGTGCTGCTGAAAAAAATTGACGTATGACCAGTCGTCTCACTTCTAGGCCCTTGGCAACTGGTTCACACTTATGACAGTTACAGCAGTGTGTGTGGTGTGTGTGTGTGTGTGTGTGTGTGTGTGTGTGTGTGTGTGTGATGCGATCACCATTTGCAATTGTTCCCTGCCTGCTTCCCACAAGCAAAATCAGTAAGGGAGACCATGTGGTTCACTTAATGATTTCAGCAAAAAATTGGGCATGATGACTTAACAACCACCTTAATTTAGCAACAGAAGTTCCAGGCCCAATTGCGGCCGAAAGTTGAGCCGTAAGTTAACACCACCTGTATGGAGTTTAACTGTGTTTCAAAAACCCTCTAATGCCAACACTTACGAATGAAGCCTGAGGAGCTTGGAGGATTGATGCTGTCGCAGCTGTCTGCGCTGTCGCTGTTGGAGATCTCATCGTCGGAATTGGAAATGGGCGAGCCCACGTCCACATCGTCAAACTTCCTCTTGAGGCCGGCACTTGTGATGGCATCCATTTGTCTCTGGCTCGCATGGAGAGCCAAAGAGCAGAAGAGAGATTTGTATTAGCTGAAGGATTCTGACTCCAGGCCTATTGATGGGATTTACCAGGTACCTAGTAAGGACAAAGAGAGGAAAGGATTAGTAACTACCTTGTGTCACACACCTGCAACACACAGGATGTTCGGGCATTGTAGTAAGTCAGCTTGTGCAGGTGCCCTGCATTTCTTTCTTCTCTAGCTGCTCCCCCCTATTATTTTTCCCCCAGAGATGAATTAAATGGCTTCTAAGAAGAGCTACGTATGTCAGACTGATTTTCTTTCATGTATTTACAGGCGTTAGTCACTCTTCATACAGTTGCATGAGCTGCTTTTCATCCATTCAAAGCTGCCTGTTACTTATTGGCTGGCACCAGCAAACAGACAATATTGCTGGGAACCAGAGCATGAGATGCCCATCTGCAGCTCTCAGAACCTTTTAAGCCAGGAGTGGCCAAAAGTGGATACCTGAGGAATTGCCCCATTTTTATTATGAGGAGTTTGGATGCAGGAGCTTTGGATGTAGTTGAGTCTGATTTAAACTGCTGCATATTCAACAAACATTTTCAGGTTTCCATAGGTAGTCCTTACAGCCGTTTGTTTAGCGACCAGTCAAAGTGACAAAGGCACTGAAAAAAGTGGCATGACTGGTTTCCCCACATATGACTTTTGTAGCACCCCCCATAGTCACATGACCAAAATTCAGGCTCTGGACAATTGGCATGTACTTATGGCAGTTGCTCTGTCCTGAGGTCACGTGATCATCCTTTGTAACCTTCCCAGCCTGCTTCCGACAAGCAGGATCAATGAGGGAAGCCAGATTCGCTTAGTGACCACATGATTCACTTAACAATTGCAATTATTTGCTTAACTGTGGCAAAAAAAAGATTGCAAAACAGGGAAACGCTCACTTAACAACTGCCTCGCTTAGCAACAGAAATATTGGCCTCAGTTGTGGTCATGAGTCAACCTGTACAGGGAGTGCTCAACTTACAACACTTCGTTTAGTGACCGTTCAAAGTTATAACAGCACTGGGGGAAAAAGTGACTTAGGACAAGTTTTTCATATTTATGACTCCTGTAGCATCCCCTGATCACACGATCAAAATTCAGATGCTCGGCCAATGGTTCATATTTATGACAATTGCTGTGTACCAAGATCATGGGATCATCCCCTTTTGCGACCTTCTGATAAGCAAAACCAATGGGCAGGCCAGCTTCACTTAACAACCAATAATTAACTATGGCAAGAAAGGTCGCAAAGTGGGGCAAAACTTACTTAACAAATGTCTCGCTTAATAACAGAAATGTGGAGCTCCATTATGGTCCTAAATTGAGGACTAGGTGTATACATTTTTATCTGGTATATTCATGCATGAATGCAAAACTCTGACCAGGCTGCTTTCTGTAGATGCCTCCTTGGCATCCAACAATCAAACACAACTCCTCCCTCCCCAGTGAGTATAATGCACTAAAAGTGACTTTTTGGGGGGGTGGGGGGGGGCGCGGTTTCAAGTCAATGTTGATTCCTGGCCAAGACTTGCCTGGACAAGTTCCTGCAGTTTTCTTGGCAAGATTTTCAGAATGGGTTTGCCAGGGCTTTCTTCCTAGAGCTGCTCATCAATCTTTTGGTTTCTAACCTGATGCCTTAATCATTACACCAAACTGGCTCTCAGGAAAGTGGCCCAGCAAATAAATATATACGCAAAGTCTTCAGGTCTTCCTCATACCAAGACATGTCCACCTTCTTATGCACTTACTATAACAACAAACTTTTGTATGGTTCCTGACTGCATAGGACGTAAAAACATTTTATATGCAGAGTGCAAAAACTGGCTATGGTTAGTTCATTTTGCAACAATGATAGGTTTGCAGACTTTATACAACACTGGAAGGTACGGTGGGCATTCTGAAGCCAGTCCTGTCATACAGCTGGGTTCAAAAACTCAACTTTCAAAATTCCTAAAATTCAGCTATCTTGCAGCTACCGCTTGAGAGCAGACCTTCTTCAAACCAGTACAAAGATAAATAGACCTCCAAACAAGGGAGGAAAAAAAAGTGCTTAAAATTATGGTGATACCCTGTCAAATTACAATGAAAGTTCAGGTTTTTTTTAAAAAAAAATTGAAACGTGGGTTACCCTGCAACATCCATAAAGGTAGTCCTCGCTTAGCAACCACAATTGGGACCAGTACTCTACTTCTAAATGCTGTAGTCGCTAAGTAGAAAATAATGTGACCACACAATGGTCTTACACCCTCATTTCCTCTTTAAGTCATTTGGCTACATGAAATATCATGTGGTTGCAAGTTGTGATTTTTATTTGTTTTTACAATTGTGAAACACCCAAATGGGCACTTATAACCATGGGATGCTGAAATGGTTACAATGAGAGGATTTGTTGCAAAACTATATTTTTTACACTGTTGTAGCTTTGAACAGTTGCTGAACAAGTTGTAAGCAAGGACTATCTATATCTACTTTTCCATAACTACAAAGATTTGCTACTATCTGCTAGATCAACCTGTCTTTTTTTTTTTCCTTCTAAAAAAAAAAAGCAGATTGGTTTGCCAGGGAAAAAACGGCAAGTGTTGAATTCTGAAATTCTGTTTTTCTGCCCCTAGCATTGTTTACTAGCAGCTAAAGGCTACGCTGTTTGAACCTTAGAGAGGGACCTAATGCCAAGAGCCTTGACTCCTTGCTATTTCTGTTATGTTTTTTTTAGACATAAATGCTCACTTGTTGCTTATGAAGTGCTACGCATTCTACAATTAAAATGGAAGGCTCTGAAGGTACCAGTTGTTTTCGAATTCCTGACCATGTTTACAACTCAGACATGTGTGCTGTGCCTTCTATGTAGTTAAATCCATATTTATTTTTACGGAATGAAAATACGTCATTGGAAGGTGCATACACATTCCTGGTAAAAAGCAACAAGATAATCTGAATTGACTTCAACACAGTAGCAGCCAGTAGGGAAATGCAACCATTTTACCACATGATGCACCAAGGGATATACATACTTGTTTATGCCAATTATTTTTAAGTTACCCAGCTATTATTCAATAATATAAATATCGACACTGATATCTTTTAAATGTAGTCACTGATTATTATTTTTTAATAAAGGTATGACTGTGGCTCAGACATATTTTGGTGTGATCTGTTATCTGGCTAAGTTGCGGCCAATGGCCAACCGCAGATGTTTCAAAAAAAGGTCTATCAGAAACCCAATGTTAGTCAGGAGCCTGATAATCCTATCCTGTGGCAATCAAATCCTTATCTCCAACAGTGAGAGATGAAGTTAAGCCTTAGGAGACATGCGCAAAAAGGGTTTCATTTAGATGCAACAGACCTGATGACCTACTTCAGCAAGGCTTAGCCTGCATGAGGGCAACGGAAACTGAGGTTCCATGGTAATATTGCTTTTACACACTTTAAAAACAGTTAATGGCAACAAGATAAGCTGGGAATCTTGCCAACCTCAGTGCAGAATGAAAGTCACAATAGAAAAGTAGGCAACAAGGTCTCAACAACAAAAAAATTTCCAAATGTTATTCAAATGAGGAATAGGGGAATTTCAAGTTAATCTAGGGGATTAGAAGGAAAAAGAGAAATTGCGGTAGGTTCAGAAACAAGATTGCACTTCTGCCTTTACCAGCTGAATGTGTAGTACAACGTACGGTATGGAAAAACCATAATCCACCAATTGTCCCCAAACCCAGTTCCTGGCTTGAGTGTGAAATTATGAGTTCCAAAAGAATACTATGCGTTTAAGCTTCAAAACTCAAACAAGACAGAACATATATATATATATATATAAATGTGTGTTACTGCAGTTGTATTACACTCACCTTATTTCGAATGATACTTACCACAATTTGAGACACTCTTTGGATAAAGGATGGTTTACATATTTTAAGTATAAATATGTGTTACAATATATACACTATGCAATGTTATATATTGTTGCACTTGGCCCTATCTTGCAAGAATCTAGATATTTTTCCCTATTGTACTTTTTTTTTTTACAGAGTTGTAAGCTGCAATAGGCACGAAGCAAGCTTATACCTGCTCTGCTCGGACCCCTGCTATTATATCTCATGTATAACAAGAGCTGCGTTAAACCAGAGGCCTGCCTTCACCACATAATGGACTTCAAATGTTTATGGGATGCCCCTAAGAGGGATATCTGCCAAATCCCAATCCCATTCCCTTTCTCCCTCCCCCTTTCCCTCCCTCCCTCTTTCTCTCTCTCTGCTATTATCTTATTCTATTGCACCAAAGGGAGTTGGAAGTCAATGCTTTTTTGTTCTTTCCCCCCTCTACTCTACACTTTTCTCCCTTTTCCTCCCTTATTTTCCCCTTATTTTCTTTGTATTTTATGTTTATGTTTTGATAAACTAATAAAAAATTTGAAATTATAAACTTTGGCTGATGTCAAAAAGTTAAAAAAGATCAGGGTTGGATTGTTAGATGCTTGGAAAGGTGAATAAATACATATATGTAACATTATAAAAAAATTAAAAAGGGAATAGATAAAAAGTATTGCCTATATTTCTTATAGTAAAATATCTGGTCTACATCATCTTGAAAATAATCATATTCCTCATAATAATAATATGTATACCTACCATATTAAGTAAAGATAATATCTAAAAAATTCTACAGTTGGTCAGAACTGACGAAAAACCACCTAATATATTTACAACATTTCCAAAAATAGAAGGGATATGAAAAGAAAGGGAGAGGAGGGAATCCTGAATCATGCTGTGTGAGTTTCTTTTCCTATCTCCACTTTTCTGCCGCAACACATTCATTACAGAACAATGGCCTTTCCTTTATTCAGCTGGGACACAGATTAGTCGGTAGCACAGGCCTTGGTGTGTGTGTGTGTTTTTTTAAGTGTGCCTGACGACTGGGAACAAGAGAGAACTAATGTCATTTCCGAGAGAGAAACAACTTTTTAAAAGCTGCCCTTTCCCTGCACAAAATGCTGTGGGTGAAGGAGTACAAGAAAAAAGAACCAGCTCTTGAAAGAATTACGGGTCGCCCTCAAATGACACGCTAGAGGAGG